GGGTGAGAGAAGGCATTAATAGTCATAAAAGCTGAGGAAAGAATCCACAAAATAAAGAAAACAGGTAATTCTGTAAAAAACTTTTTTAAAAAATGGCATGTCAAACAATTTCATAAAGTTAAAACAAATGACAAATGGGAAAATATCTGCAACATATTGACAGGAGGATCACTATACTTAATATATAAAGAGCTCTTAGGAATTAAGACTAGAAAGTAGAGAGACAAATATCCCAATATAAAAATGAGCAAAGGTCATGAAACGGAGTTCACAGAAGAAATACAATTGTTGAATAAACACAAAACAATTCTTTAATCTCACTAGTAAACTAAATGCTATAAATAAAAATGAGATACAATTTTTACCTATTAAATATGCAAGATTAAAAAATAATTCACATATTGGCAAAAGTGTGGGAAAAGATACACTCATATCTAATTGGTGCATGTAAATCAGTACTTTTTTTCTGAGGAGATACTTGGCAATATGTATCAGAGGCCTTAAATATCTTAAAACCTTTTGTTCTTATGATTAGAATTTATCTCAAAGAAAAACCATCACAAATGCACATAAAGATTTATCTATGAGGATGTTTACTACAGCATCATTTCTGACAACAAGAAACTAAAAATTTAAATGGCCAAAAACAGAGAAATGATGAAACTATGATATAGTAACAAGGAGAACACCATGCAACATTAATGATCACACATGACAGTAATTATTGACTTACATGGAAAAGGCTTACAGTATATTAAATGGAAAAAGTGCAGTGAGAAATCAATTATAAAAACAGGCACAAGTGACTACGTGCATGTGTATCTACCTATGAAAAAATAAGACTAGAAGGCAACAAACCCAAAATAATAATGTGTGTTATATTCTGGTATTAAGAATATGGGTGACCTAAAATTTCTTCTTTGAACCCTTCTAAATGTTTCAAATTTATCTAATGAATTTGTGTTCCTAGTATAACAAAATGTCATTAAAACTGATGTGAAGAAGTATAGATTACTTACTTTAATAGCAATGTTAATAGACACTTCCTGAATATTAGCAAGTGGTGGGTAAAGTCTCCCTTGAGCTAGCTCTTTCTCCGTCAATTGGCTTGTCAGTGCCTGAAGAGAAAAAACAGCATTTTGCTTTTGTTTTTTTAAATAACAGAGTAAGGACATAGTAAAATGGACAAAGCACTGGGGAAACAGAATGATACAGGTAATATAATTCTCCTTTCTTTCAGGAATATACTTAAATCACAGCAGAAATTAAAACTGTTCACCAGTAAACAATAAAGAAATAACCAGATTTAAAGACTTATTGATATATTCTACTTTATATATACGGGCTCGGCATAATTACAACAGCTACTATGAAAATAGACATTAATATTTATATTAATGTGAATTCTTCAGCTCTCATATTGTGAAGTCTAGAACTCCAACTGGCCAGCTCTCCAAATAATACCAGTATTTGTCCATTAAAAATATGCAAGGAGTTATATTTTATCTATGCTGTCATAATATGTTCAGATATATACATAAAATGTAAGTACAATCTAAGTGTTCTAATACGAAAGGATTCATAGTTTGCAAACATTGAAAAGTCATGATTAAAAAAATTAGTTTATGCAAAAGTAGACAGGTAAATCATAAAAGTAATTCCTTTTCTTTAACAAGGTAGATTTAACCCTCTCTTTCTCTCTGCCTTTTTTTTTTTTTGTAAAGAGACAGCATCTCACTATGTGGCCCAGGCTGAACTCAAGAGATTGTCCTGCCTCAGCCTCCCAAGTAGCTGAGACTATAGGCACACATCATCACACCTGGCTTTCTCTCTACTTTTAAGATCCATTCATCTTTAAAATTCATCCTTTATAAAATAAACAACATTTAAAACATTTACCTTTGCAGCTTCTAGGAAAACATTGTCACTAATGTGCCGGGTGTTACACAGAATAACAGCTAAAGCCACACCTAGAATACATTTTAAGTAGTTTATTTAGTAAGGTCACTTTTCAAATTATGAAAGGAGCCAAATTCCTAATTCGAGCAAATAAATGGCAACCCATCCCCCATCCCAAACAGCTTCTCCCAAAGCAGAAAGCAGCCAAGAGAAAACAGAAAATCAAATAAAATGATCTGTGTTATAATTCTTATTTGTTAAAGAAATAGTTTTAGGAATATCAAATGGCTTTTCTCAATTTAGTTTTTGCATTTATCAAAATGACAAAGGCCTACAACTAACTTATCC